TCTATAACTATCCTCATTTATCAAACCTCATAGAGTTTCCAGAGACAGGTTGTTTAGGAAGTGGATGCCACTCCTGCTTCCAAATACAACTTTTGTATATAAACCAATAATAAAAAGAAATAAAAGGAACATAAGGACAGAGTGAACCTGAAAGTTGTGATTTCAGAGCTAAGAAGATATGTTCTCTGAAAGCATCTCCCTCTGCTGTTTGAATGCCTGAGATGTCCCCTTTACAGTTTCAACAGGAGTGCAAAGCCTCAAGAACAGAAAAATCACCTCATCCATTTCCCTCTTACCTCCCAAGAAAGGGCTTCCAATGACAGAGAACTGTCCACTGATTTGTTTCATGCCAGAAGGGTTTGTTTTCCTGTGGCTTCTAATCATGAGTCCCAGTATTGTTCTTAGTCATTGTAAAAAAGAAACTTTAGACTGGTCCATCTTTAACGGGTAAAGGAGAACAAAGGTTGGTGTAATAGATCACAAGTTGACCCAAAGGAAACATAAACTATAAGTTGACACGTTAGGCTATAGGGCCTAGAATGTGTGCGCAAACAGAAGGGAGAAGGGAGGGAGGGGAGAGTCATGAAAAGATGAAGACTTAGATGATTGCAGGAAAGAATGTACACTCTTAGGTCCCAGCTAATGGTGCCGGGCCAGGACTTGTGGGCTAGGAGATAAAAACTCGTGGTCAGCTGTGGAAGGTCCAGCCTACTTATTTCAGGACTTGGGTAACTGATTTTGCAAAATCTATAAATAAAGCCTCACTCTCCCTAAACTGAGTCTAGATTGGATTTCTCGTGTGTTTGTCAGGCCTATGCTCTGGGTAATTTATCTGCAAATTCACACAGGATAAGGTGGCTGGAAGGCACAGACCCCAGCTCAGAACAGCCCACCAAGAGGAGCGTGGTTGCTAAAAGGAGCTGAGGCAGGGCCCTGGGTGGTTGTTGTTAGGCACTGTTTAGTTGCTTGCGATTCATAGTGACCCGATGTAAAACAGCCCTGAAGCCTGCCCTGTCCTGAGCCAACCTCCTACCCTCAGTAGTGTCCTGGGTACTGACAGCATTTCCCACAAGCACACACCCAGGTCTTCTGCTCTTTGAATAGTGGAGGATGGCTTCCAGGCCATTTTCCCCAGCTTGATTTTCTTGACTCTTCTAAGAACACACTGTGCTGTATGTTGGCCGTTTGATCCTGAAAGTGTTGCCTAGCACTGTGCATCATGCTCTGAAGATGAAATTATTATTTTTAGAATTTTAATTTAATTTTATTCTTTTGTGTGTGTACCATCAAATCGGATCCAACTAGTACAGGAGGTGATTGCCCTGCTTTCTCCAGCAGAGCATCTGGTGGATTTGAACTGCGTACCTCTGGGATTGCAATGCAGCTTCTTGCTTCTAGGCCACCAGAGCTCCCTTTGGAGGTGAAATTATTAAAGCAAGTGGATTCCTTCCTTCATTCTAGGTGCCAGAGGTCCATCAACAAAGCCGTAGAGCTTGATGTTTCCCCAGCATTTGCACCCTATCAGCGAAAATGTAACTCTGTTAACTAAGACATCACTAATTGAAACCTGGCCTCTGCTGAGCCCACCCTTCTTACTCTACATGGTTTGTCTTTCTGTCTTTTCTTTTAAAAAGACCCACGGGCATCTTGCCAGGAACGTGTGTCTTGTTACATTCAGATCATAGTTATTAACAGCCCAGAGTCCCCCAGATCCTCGTTCAGTTTTCTCAGTGTATTCCCCACTCCAGTTTCCTGCCTCACCCCCTGCAAAAATGCCACCCTGTTTTCTGCCTTAAAAATCACTGGGATCTTCACTTGACGAGACCTCTCACCTGGTTCATTCTATCACTTGGTGGAACATCTGAGCCCTCTCACCCTGTGAGGTCCTCAGAGAGATCAGAATGACATGGAACGTGCTTGTGCTACAATGCTAGATGACCAGGGCAGGGTGTGGTGACACTGGAGATGAAGGAGGAGGTTGTGACAAAAGGTTGTCGATAGTGGCCTCTATGCAATGACACTCTTTTGTTTTACTCATCCAACAAAGACACTTTATGTATATGCATCCTATGCTGAGTCTATGGAAAAGTGGAAAAACATAAAAGGAAAATAAATTTATTTCCCCTGATGAATGTATTAGCTCCTCAAGAGAGGCACTCAGACCTTCCCATGACATCCACCTTCATCTCCCTTTCCTACCTACAGAGTCCAAGGCATCCTTCTATGCCCTAGAAAGAAATCCTTGGTTAAAGAAGAGGCAAGCACTGGGAAAGAAATACCAGGACCATGAGGAAGAGGTGGACTAAGGGGTTTACTCTGGTCTTCACTTACCAGTCCCTGTCACCAACCCCTTCTTTGTCCCCACCCAAAAGGATGCATTTAAAGCTGTTTTCCCAGCCAATAGATTCTAGAAAAGGGCTTCGCAAGTAGTGAGGACAGGGCTTAGCCAGGATAATGACTCAGAAATCCAATCTGGGTTCAAAAGAGGCTGTGGCTCCAGGGTTGTCACTGCTGATGGCAGATGGATCTTGGCTAAAAGTAGGACTATCCTGAAGGATGTCTATTTGTGTTTTATTGACTATGCAAAGGCTTTTGACTATGTGGATCATGATGCATCGTGGTTAACACTGAGAAGAATGGGACTCCCAGAGCACTTAATTGTGCTCACGCAAAACGTGTACCTAGACCAAGAAGCTGCTGTCTGAACAGAGCAAAGGAACATTTGTGCATCAGGGTGGTTTCCTTCTCCAAGCCTACTAAATCTGTCTGCAGAACAGGTCATTTGAGAAGCTGGACTTTATGGAGAAGAATGTGGCATCAGGATTGAAGGATGACCTATCAACAACCTATGTTATGCAAATAACACAATTTGCTTGCTAAAAGTGATGGAGACTTGAAATACTTGTTGCAGAAGATCAAAGACTACAATCTTCAATATGGACTACATTTTAACATCAAGAAAACAAAAGTCTTCACCACTAGTTCAACAGGCAACATCATGATAGAGGCAGAGAAGACTGAAGTTGTTAATGATTTCATCTTACTTGGATCCACAAGCAATCACGAAATCCAAAGATTCTGCATTGGGGAAATCTGGTGTCAGGGACCTTGGCAAAGCGCTGAGGAAACAGCATTGCCTGTTTAAAGACTAAAGTGTGCCATGGTCTTTTCAGTTACTTCCTCTGCATCTGAAAGATGGGCAATGAGAAAGGATGATAGAAGACGACTCGATGCCTTTGATTCGTGCTGTTGGAGAAGAGGGTGGACTATCGAAAGAACTAACAAATATGCTTTGGCGAAAGTGCAGCCAGACAAGAACAAGGAAATGTCATCTCATATATTTTGGGCATGTGATTAGACGTGGCCAGCTACTCCTTAGAAAGAGATATCGTGCTTGGAAAGGTGGAGGGTCAGAGAAAGAGGAAGATCAGTAACAAGATGGGTTCACACAATGACTGTAGCAATGGGGGGAATATTAATTATTAGGGATGGTGAGGATGGCACAGGACAGGGCAAGGCCTTCACAGGATCTCCTAGTTGCCTGACGACAACTAGCCCATTTCCCAGACATGGCTGAGGCCGGGGTGGTTGAGCAGAAGTCCCCAGGCGCCTCCAGGCCGAACTCAGAGCCTGTATGAATTTGACCCCGGCTTACTCTTCTACCAGCAGAGGGCGCGCGCCACCCGCGAGAAGCAGGCTGCCCCCTCGAGGCCCAGTGCAGAGGCAGAGCCTGCCAGGACCAGTGCGTTTCAAACAGACAAATACAAAAGAAAAATTGCAGAAATGCAGCTTCTAGGGGCAGGGGTTGGGTTGTGATTGAGGGTGAGAGTTGGCGTGAGAGTGGAATGGGAAGAAAAGACGGGTGGAGGAGGGCGTGAAGGTCAAGAAGGTGTGGGGGGAGGTGAGAAGTGGGCGAAATGGGGGTGCTCAAAGGAGCAGGTATGATGGAGATGAGAAGTAGTGAGATGGAGAATGGAAAGGACGACGGGCAGTGGAAAAGCGGGTGAGAAGAGGTGAACTAAGCTGAGGTAGCTGGGGAGAGGCTGGAGAAAGGCTGGCGGAGGAGGGCCTGGCTGCGAGAGGCGGGACTGCCTGCGCCCACCCACCCGGACTCCTTGCTCCCCGCCCCCAGCAGCCCCATCCTGCCTCACTGCGGTTCTCCCGAGCTCTTCCTCAACCAGGATTTATTTCTCCTCAGACCCGGCCTTAGTCTTTCCCTCTCTCACCCCCTCTCCCGCCTCAGACAAGGTTCTGGTGCCGCAAAGAACAGCGAGAGGAGCTGGAGCGAGCTGGAGAGCTTTAATGGGAGAGGGATAGGAAGACACTGGGAGAGTGGGGTGGAAGGAAGGAGGGCTGGAAGCCACCCAGCCAAGTTAGGGGGTGGGTGTGAGGACGGAGACCCTTCCCAAGTCTGCCAGGCCCCAAAGCGGAAAAGGTGGACTGTGGGCCTCAGGGCTGGACTAGGGCAGTCCGTGGGGGAGAGACAAGAGGAAATACTTGACATTCAATAGAAAAGGGGCAGCCTGCAGGGGGCTTCCAGGAGCCAGGCTGAAGTGTAAGTGGGGGGGGAGACAGAGGTGACCGGGGACCCCCTGGCCAGTCTGGGGACCTGGTAGGAGGTGGAGTTAAAAGAAAACTTGGAGGCCAGAAGTGCGTGGGACTATGTTTTGTTAGTTCCGCTGGAGGAGAATCGCTCCGCTGGGTTCTTGACCACCATCTTTATGGAAGTAGATCGCTGGTGGGTTCTGCTGGTGCACAGTCTACACAGCAAGCCGCATGTGCCACCCAGGCGCCACCAAGCCCATGGCCCTCGAGTCATTAACTTATGGTGACCCCATGTGAGGCAGGTGTGAATCTAAAGATAAAGAAAGTGGGGGAGGCTTCGGGACCTTCCTCCAGGAGGGTGGAAGGAGCGTGGGGGAGGCTCCAAGCCGTCCCTGGACGTGGATGGGGTTGGGCGAGGCCTTGGGCCTTGGGCCTTGGGGAGTGGCCGCCCCTGCCTAGTGGTAATGACCCCCCAAGTGCGAGGCGGCGGCCACGGCGCCGAAGGGCCCGGGCGGGGGCTGCAAGCTGGGGCCCGGGTAGAGCGCAGCGGTGGCGGCGGCGGCGGTGGCGGCCGGGCTGGGACCTGGCCAGTAGGAGAAGCCGGCGGGCGCGACCCCGGCCGAGGCGGCCATGAGGTTGAGTTTGGAGAGGCCAGGGAAGGGCAGCGGGGCGAGGCCGGTGGGCAGCTTGTAGAGCGCGCCTTCCTGCGCGGCGGCGGCGGCGGCGGCGTGGGCGTGCGCGGGCGGCGGCTGGCAGGCCTGCGCCAGGCCCTGGAAGTCGAAGCGGTAGGCGTAGCGCTTGCCGTGCACCTTGCTCATGATGTTCTTGTCGTAGTAGTAGCGCAGCGCGCGGCTCAGCTTGTCGTAGTTCATGTTGGGCTTGCTCTTGCGCTCGCCCCAGCGCCGAGCCACCTCGTCTGGGTCCGTGAGCTTGAACTCGCCGTGGCCACCCTCCCACGCGATGCAGCCGGCGTTGGCGCGGTCGGCCAGCAGCTCCAGCAGGAACTGCCACAGCTGGATCTGCCCGCTGCCTGCGGGGAGTTGGGGGCGGTCAGGCTGGGGCTGGGGGCCGGGCTGGGGGTCATCTGGGGCAGGGGCCTGGCCCACCTGAAGCCGTGGGGGGCATGAGTGCGTGCGGCCTGCAGGAACACTGTGCGTTCCCCCTTCCCCCGCGCTCCCCAGTCCTGGTTCAGGGAGATGTTGACCGGAGCGGTCTCCAGCCTCGACAGCAGGTTTACATAGTGGGAGACCCGCTTGCTCTCAGAAGGACGCCGCCCGACCAGCGCCCAGCTTTGTTAACTTAGGCGAAGATGTGGGATCCTCCGCGCAGAGACAGCGGCAAAACAAGGCATACGGCTTTCCCAGGCCAGCAGGGGCCGGACTGCAGCCTCTGCTCGCCCTTCTGGCTGGACCGTCTTTATTTATTGAGGGCAGGCCCAGAGCAACCGCACCGATGCCTGGGCGGGTGACTGCCATCCCAGCGGGCCAGAGACCCAGACAGCACAGGGCCGGGTCTGCGCTCTCCAAAGATACACAACTGGACATTAAGGGGGAAAGGGACACTGGCTTGTATCAAACAAGCAAATGACAGTGGCCCCCTAAACGTGAGAGGAGGGGTGGGGTCCCCGCGGGCCCCCACTCCCACAGCCAGCAGGTGCGCAGGGCTGTGGTTCGGCCTGTTTCGCAGAGCTGGGGTGTGACGGCTTTTGGGAGTAGACGGGATTCCCGGTGCCAAAGGCACACGGACCCTGAGAACAGAGCTGGCACCAGGAAGACCCTGGGCCTGACCAGTGTCTCCTCGGTTCCTGGCAAGTGTCTGGGCCCCTCCACCCTGTCCAGAGCTCAGAGTTACAGAAAAGGAGTGGTGGGAGGGTGGGGGAGAGTAGGACCCTGTCACTCCTGGTTCCCTATCTTGTCACCTCAGACAAACGAAGAAGAAAAAAAAATATTGCTACAATTACCAGTCCCCTTAAAAATTAAACGAATCTTCAGCAAAGCTAATTATTGCCTCAAATGGGAGCCCGTAGACCCTCACTTTCAACCACCCGCCCAGAACCCAGACATTGCTCCCACCATAACCTTTGCCCTCTGTGCCAGCCTAGTGAGGGGCCTCTGGGTCGTGACTGGCATTTATAAGATCGTTAGTGGTGGGGGGACAAATCAGGCACCCACGCTCGGGGGTGACCCCAGAGCCGTGCGAGCCGGTTCTTCCGCCGTTTGGGTGAAGGGAAGTTGTCAACCTCATTTCTGAAGTAACCATAACTTGGGGGGATCCAGGGTACTGGCTGGGGCCCGACCCTGTGCGAGGGGCATTGTCAGGAAAGCCAGCCTCCCGCTGTGACCCGGAAACGCCAAAAGGATTTGGTCACAGCAAGGAACCAGGGGATCACTAAATTGTTCCTCTTGAGTTTTGCGGGGCGCACGCTTAGGCACGAGATACTGAGCCCAGTGTTCGTGGTGGCCCTGTGTGGTGAGGTAATGAGGGTCCCGAAATGCCGGAGCCTACATAAGCGTAGACTAGAGGTCTGCTGGATGCCAAACTCCTTAACCCAGGCCCCAAGAGCAAGAAAACTCAGCAGAAGAAAGCCCGGGGTCAAAATCCTCCTCGCCGCCCCTCCAGGGCAGGTTCCACTCGCTCTGGAACTCCGGAGAAGCAGGAGAGGTCAAGGGTACGTCTCCCCAGGTCCTCCAGGCAGTCAGACCTGAGTCCTCCCAGAGCCTTCCCAGAGCCTGGCTTGCAAGCTGCCCCCGCCCTCTGCCCAGTGGCGGTGGTACCGTCCTTCTGGGGCTGGTGCCCCGGCGGCCAGCCCACTGTCCTCGCGCAACGCGCCCCGCGCTCACCTTTCTGCACCGCGGGGCTCAGCGGCCCCCAGCCCGGGCTCTTCGCGTCCTTGAAGAGACCGTCTCCGACCGGATCTGCAGCGACGGGATAAATCAGTCAGTCTGACCTGGGGCCGGGGCGGAGGTCGTCAGCTAGTTGGGAATGGTCTGGGACCCAGGCTCCAGGGGGTCTGTGGTCCCCGGAAGCCAGGCTGGAGCACCAGGCCGCCCGGCTCCTCCTCCCCCAGGCCCGGCCTCGGCGCGCGCGGCGCAGAGCCCCTGCGGAGAGCCCAAGTCAGGAAACGCGTCCAGGAAAAAGGAAATCCGCTTTCTGAACGCCCAGCGGGAGCCTTATAAAGCCCGGCAGGGATGCGCCAGGCGAGCGGAGCGCGGGGAGCCCATGGGGAGGAGAGGAGGGCGCCTGGAGGGCCAGGCCCGTGGGGGCGCTTGGAACACCGAGGTGAGGACAGGCGAGGGCGCAGGGGCGACGATCGGCGGACCCCAGCCTCGTGGCACTGCTGGCGCACAGAAGCCACCACCTGCCCGACAACCTCTGCTCCCGCGACCAGGCTCTTTCCGTCCCCTGAGCCCACCTCAACCTCCCAGGGTCCCGTTCTGCCCCCTTCAGTCCTCCACTGCGAAACCCCAAAGCTCTCATCGGCCTTTGAGGTACCCCCCCAAGGGCCTGCGCTCTCAGCAGCCCAAGTCCAAGGACCGCGCCCCCTTTCTCGGTCGCCGGAGTCCCCTTCCCAAGGCAGAGCGCCGTCTTCCCGCCCGGGTTCTGATGCCTGCACCCCGGGCTGGTCCCTGGTACCTGGCAGGTACATGTTGATCAGCAGGGGCTGGGAGGCGCCGCTCTGTCTCATCGCCGCCGGGTACTGGGCGGTGGGAGGTGGGGGGGCACGGGAGGGGGAGCGCGCAGGCTTGGCGCTCCGGGGCACCGATCCCCGCCCGAGGCGCACACGGGTGATGGGGAGGAGACGGCGCCGGGTCCGGCGGGGGGGGGGGGGGTCTTGGAACGACGCACCCAGTTACCGGGCTGCTAGGAAGCCTCCGGGGCCCCCCGAGCGGGCCGGGGCTGCAATTTCCGTTTTAATTAAAGCGCCGCCGCCTGGGCCCCCCGGACCCGCCCCCGCCCCCCTTATCGGACCATCGCAATAAAGTCTCCAGCGCGCGGCGTCGCAGCCAAGCGCACCCGGCAGCCCCCCGCGCCCCGCAGCCGGGAGACCGCGGGGGATGGGCCGGGCGCGCTCTGACACCGGCCGCAGCGCCTGACTTTTCCGCCTCCCTGACTGTCCGCAAACAGCGCGGGGCGGGGCCGCCGGCTCCCCCGCCGATCCCGGGAGCCACAGCCCCCTCCCCAGGGCTTTCTGCCCCTCGGTCCCTGCCCCCTCCCAATGCTCTACCCCCCCCTTCTCCTCCCCTCACCCGGTTCCCGTCTCCAGGCTGCGTTATCTGCATCTTCACTTTTAAATTTCCGCTTCCCTCCCTCTCGCCTGTCGCTGCGCTCCCGCCCCGCAGCCGTCGCTCCCTTTATCTCTGTCCCCACCCATACCCACACCCGCCCACTTGTGCCTTCTCTCCCCTCTTCTACTCTCTGCCTAGAGACCTGACCCCTTCTCTTCCTCTTTCTGACGTTCACCCTATTTCCTGCCTTCCCCTGCCCCAGCCTCGGGTCACACACAGGGACCTCATCTCGAGGCCACTCCCCATGGATCTGCCCTTTCCCTGGCTCTCTAGGGCTCTCCTCTCTTTTCCGCCGCCTCTCACACCTTCCCCCATTTTCCCTCCACCCTCCTCTCCCGTTTCCCCCGTTGCTTTTCTGATTTCTGAAGTCCCACATTGTTCCCTCCCACCCTTCCCGTCCTCCCCCCTCAGTCCTCTCTGCACTGGGATGCGGCTGGCACCTTGCTCAGGCAGAGAGAGCAGCTCTGAAAGGGGCTCCTGCGATTGTACCCGGTGTGGACTGTTGAACACAGAGTCCCAGAGTCTGTGGAGGCTAAACTCCACCCTATGCAGGGAATTCCTCTTCCTCTAATCCATGCAAGGATGTTCATGCGTTGTTAGTAATGCTGAAGTGGTCCCCAAGTGGCCTAGAGTCTCTGGGTACCCGTGGGGCTTCCTGGGCCTAGAGTGGCAAGCTCAGGGGGTCTGGGAGACTCTGTCCTGGTAATCCAGCTCAACCCCTAAGGTATGCAGCCTCCTTTACTATTGTCAAAATGATAAGCTCAACGCCCTTGGCCTCAGCTTGAGAGATGAGACCACCTGGCACTCCAGGATCACACAGAGCCAGGGGAAAAGCTGGGGGGTTGGTGTCAAGAAAAGGATCTCAAGACTCCACAGAATCCTAAAGAGCCAGGAATAGAGGTTTCAGTACGTGGACCTGAAATCTGATGGGAGCCGAGGCCAAGAGGTTGAGATGCCCTCTGGGGACCAAACTCAGGGATCTCCAGGGGAAGCGAACTCATTGTCATTCAGCTGAAGCCCATAGCTGACCCCACAGCGGGTTTCTGAATGGCACTGGAGGAGAACTTTAGAGATGGGCCCCAGTTCCTATGCCTCTCCCTCATGCCCTTGAGCCTTTCACCACTTCTCCAAGCTGCTGCTCACAGAAAATAAGGGAAGGAGGTAAGGTTGTTCTTGTGGAAAGTTGAGATAGAAAGAAAGGCAATCAGAGGGGGTCTACCCCAAACCCCTTGCTCCAGTAGGGAAAGTGTCAACAGAGCAGACCCCATGCCATGGCCTTGTTGTCGATGCTCAGGTGCTGAGTGAGGTGCAGTGCTGGGAGACAGTTATTCTGAGGGTTTGCCCACCCCACCTGAGTGCTGGCCAGACAAGAAGGGGGCACCTTCTTCCATTCCCTTGGACGATGGAGGAGTAAAGGCCCTTCTGTCTTGGTTATCTAGTGCTGCAGTGACAAAGATACCTCAAATGGATGATTTTTATAAATAAATATATTTTCTCACAGGAAGTTAGAAGTTCAAAATCAATGTGCTTGCTTTGGGGCAAGGTGTTCTCTCTGTGTCAACCTGGGGAGGAAGATCCTTGTTTCTCAGCTGCTCCTGAGCAACCATCATGTGGCTGGCGTCTCTCTTCCCATCTCTGCTCTGCTTGGTTTGTATATTTCAAAAGAGATTGACTCAAGATACAACACTACACTAACCATACCTCATTAATGTGACAGACAACCCATACCCCAATGAGAATATAACCTCAGGCATGCTGTTGTTGTTGTTGTTATGTGCTGTCAGTTCACTTGACTCATAGCAACCCTATGAACAATGTCTCTGAACTTTGCTCTATCCTGAGCCAGCCTCACCATCTCTGATAACACCCAACCCCATTGTCACTGTCACTGCATCAATCCATCTCATCCGGGGTCTTCCTCTTCTGCATTGATGCTCTACCCTTCCAAGCATGAAGTCCTTCTCCAAGGACTAGCCCCTCTGGCAACATGCCCAAAGTATGTGAGATGAAGCTTCAAAATCCTTGTCTCCAGGGAGCAACCTGCTTTCATTCTCTCCAGAATGGACTTATTTGTTCTCTGGTGTGCCATGGTATGCTGATACTCTTCTCCAGCACCACAACTTAAAGGCATCGATTCTTCTTCTGTCCTCATTCACTGCCCAGCTCTCAGATGCACAGAAAGCAACTGAGAAGACCATCACCTGCATCAAGGCATCTTAGTTGGTCATACAACATGTATTGGGGGGGGGAAGTCCATAATTCAATTCATAGCACTTTCTAACTTAAGTGAGTGACAGTCCCATCCCATGGGCTTTCTGCCTATCTAGAATGAGAAGAGGCAAGGATGTGAAGTCATGACAGTAGGGAGCCAAGGGAACCCAGGCTTTGAAAAATCTAAAATATTGGAGCATCAAAAACTGCAGCAAGGATCAACTCCCCTCTACACCTCCCTGTACTGGTACAGAAACTGATTCCCACATGGGAGAGGACCGGGCTCAGGGTCACAGGACAGATGCTGAAGATCTTGATCTGATTCTTCCCCAAGCCACTGCACCTACTGGGAGGAGGGACGCTCAGCAGAAGGCAGTTACCAGAGGTCCCTTCTCCCTTCCTCTGACCTCTGAAGCAAGTGGGTGTGAGGGGAAAGCTAGCCTGCAGTTAATTTGCCTGGGTTTTGAGTTCAACTCAAACCCCCATTTCCCTTATTTCCCTGTGTGTATGGTTCTGAGCTGTAAATAAGTGTGATAGTACAAACCACATCAGATTATGAGGTTTTTATATAACATGTGGCATGCTCCAAACAGGTTCTAGACGTGTTAGCGTATTGTATTGTATTGTATTGTATTGTATTGTATTGTATTGTATTGTATTGTATTGTATTGTATTGTATTGTATTGTATTGTAAAGTCTTGCAGTGAAATATATAGGACCTGGAGTTCTAAAACCAAAAGGGGAGAACTTGTTTTGCATTTCTCAAGCTGAATGGGCAAAATCTTGAACAACATGGGAAGCATAGAGAAGATGAAAGGAATACACAGAGTCACTGCACCAAAAAGAATGGGTAAGTGTTCAACCATTTCAGGAGGTAACTTATGACCAAGAACTGATGGTATAGAAGGAACAAGTGCAAACAGAGTACATTTGAAGATATTGGTAAAATACAAGATTCTAGGAATTGATGGAATACCTGTTGAATGTTTCTACAAATGAATGCTATAAGGAAAGCACCCACTTGTCTATGCCAAGAAATTTGGAAGACAGTTACCTGGATACCCAGCTGGAAGAGAGATGTGCCCATTCCAAATAAAAGTGGTTCAACAGGATGCAGAAGTTAGCAAATAATCACAACCAGACATTTTGCTGAAGATATGTTGTCATTTGAACAGAACAAGAGGGATAATACATTGAAATCAGGAAAGGCGTGCATCAAGTTTGCATTCTTTCACTATTCTTCCCCCCCCCAGTTCTTATTCACTCTTTCTTTAACTTTTCACTATTCTTATTCAATGTGTATACTGAGCAAACACTCAGAGAAGCTGGACTATATAAGGAAGAATGCAGCCTCAGGATCAGAGTCGCATTAACAGCCTGTGATAGACAGATCATACAGTCTGGCTTGCTGAAAGTGAAGAGGACTTGAAGCAATTCTTGATGAAACTCAAAGACTACAGCTTTGAGTATGAATTACATCTCAACAGAAAGAAAACACAAATTTTCGCAACTGGACCAAAGAGCAAGGGTGCCCTGGTGGCTTCATCCCTGATCTGTCAGGAGCTGCATTGCTAACTCAAAGTCTGTGCCTCTGCCTGTTTGAATCCACCAGTTTCTCTGGGAGAGAATGAGGAACAATCTTCTCGTGTCTGATTCAGAGCCTCAGAAATCCAATGGAGGGTCAGCTGTAAGTCCATTCTGACCTGGTGGCAATGAGTGAGTGGACCAGTAACGAATATCATGATAAATAAAGTTGTGTTGTTGTTATTAAGTGCCTTTGAATCGAGCATGACTCATAGTGACCCTATGAATAAAAGATCTGAACCCTCTTCTATGACTATAATCTTTTCTCTAATGTTCATAGAGTTTCCAAAGGCATGTTGTTTAGGAAGTGGATGCGAATCCTGCTTTCAAGACTGCTTTAATCTGTGATATCTACCAAACTCTGTCTACCATGAGTAACCATTAGGGCATTTAACACACCAGTGCAATAGTATTCAGCATCACAAAAAAACCCAAGTTACCTCAGTACAGCAAACTGACAGACCAGTGCTGTACCACTTGGGAAAATGTTCTTCTCAAACACAATTAACATTAGGCCGGAGGACCAGCAGCCAGTGGGCCCAACTTTTAAATACAAAGGCCCGCCCACAAGGTCCTGATTGACTTAAACAAGAGACTTCCAGCCCACAGCTGACTGCTAGCTAAATCCCGTAAATCCAATCAGTCTACGTATGATTGTGAATGAAAACTGGAGTATGATATTAAAATTGTCAAGAATTTCATTTTACTTGGATCAGCACCCACGGAAGCAGCAGTAAAGACATCAAATGCCATATTACATTGGGAACATTTGCTGTACCTTCTTTAAAGTGTTAAAAACCAAGATGTCACTTTAAGGATTACAGTGGCCATGTTTCAAGCCATAGTTTTTCCAGTCATCCCATATGCATGTGAAAGTTAATTTGACAATAAATGAAGAAACCAGAATAAAAGTGGATGCAATTGAATTATGGTGTTGGCAAAGAATGTTCACTACCATGGACTTCCAGAATGGACAAGTCTATCCTGGAAGAAGTACGGCCAGTACACTCCCTTAGAGGTCATGGTGAAGAAGTTTCATCTTACTTGTTTTGGATGTAATTATCAGGAGGGACCAGACCCTGGAAAAGGACATTATACTTGGTAGACTAGAAGGTGAGTGAAAAAGAGGAAACCTTCAATAAAATGCATTGACACAGTGGGTGCAACAAACAATGGACCTCAAAGATTGTGAGGATGGCAGAGGACTGGTTATTATTTCACTCCGTTGCATGGGTTCCTTAGGAATTGGAACGAACTCAAATGCATAGGACAACATTGATACTACTGTCATTGTTAGATGACTTCCGCTGGGCTCCGCCTTACAGAGGCTCAATGTGCAACAGAAGGAAACCCTGCTGGGGAAATCTCACTACCAGCAAGAAAGAAGAATTCAAGAACCTCGTGAGTGTCCATTTGGACCAGAGATTCCGGCACAACGCAGACCGGGACTTACACTAGATAAAGCAGCAGCAGCAGCCTAGAATCATCAGAGACTCACGTGAGGTAGAGCTGACCTGGGTTGGTCGCCCCACAGAGCCCGAGCCTTTGCTCAAGCTTGCTGGATGACTGTGGGAAGACGGCAGGAGAGCTGCCATCATTGTCAAAACTTAAGCGAACTTTGCAACACTGGACTAAGGCCTGTGAATACACTTGAGAAGTTATCCTGACTGACGAATTGTATTCTGTTTCCAACCTGAGTTTTAACCCATTAACTTCTCTAATAAGCCTCATAATTGGAGAGGGGGAGGAGGAAGAGAAAAAGCTGCCTGATCCCACACCATCCACACAATGTCTGCGGTGCCCATTGTGCTAGTCACTTAAATTAATCCATCTTGTTGAAAGTCTTCCTTTCCTCTGATGACCCTCCCCTCTACTTTTATTGAAGTTAATATCACCATCCCCCAGAGGAGGGGAGAGAAGCCTTGACCAGCCTATGGTTCCTCTGGAACTCTCAGAGGTTTGGAATTCTGCTAGGACCTGGCACTTGTAGCCTCCACTTAGCCCAAGTTTGGAGTCAGGATCTCTGGTGTTCAAGTCTAGACTATTATCAATTAAATGGATCATCTTATGATGATTTCTTCCTCTCTTAGGTTTCTCCTCTGGTGAGAGGGGTAAAGAGTGGAGGGTGTCAGAGAAGAAATCATACTGCTGACAAGGACTTGGAGGGATGCTTTGACACTGCCCTGCCTGCACCAGAGCGCAGGGCAACTGGAGCAAGAGCCTGAGGGGCGTCCAGCTCACAACTCCTCTGAAGGGTCAGGTGGGAAAGGAGAAGTGAAGAGAGGGTTGTTTGGATGTGCTGAGGGGTTATGAAAATGCTTGTAAGTGCTGAATTTCAGTACCATATAAGGGACTGTTATTCAGACAGGATTATGAGGCTTGGATCATAGAGAGAAAGCCTTCATTAGAAGACCCTGGGAGCCAATGGGATCTCCCATTATGCCTGTTTCCCCATAAAAGCAGAGATTCTTTGAACCTGAGACTGGAGAAAGGGGGACTATTGAAATAGGTATGGATTTCTCTTGGGTGGGTAGGGAGCAAGAATAAAAACAAAGGCTGAAAATGTTCTGGGGAGTAGAGATGAATGTTTAGGCAATTCTTTCCTTCACACCTTGTCCAGAGCTGTGTGGAGTTCAAAATCCTTGCCAAGGCTATCCACCCCATCCAGAGGAAAGCAAAGGTTTCATCCTTGGTTGGTGCCATACTCCTGGCCCAAGCTGATGGGTCTTTAACAAGGAGAACTTGAGATTGGTTGTGTTTAACAGAAACCCCAATAATCTTACCAGCAGCTTCCTCTCAGCCCCTCTGAGGCTGCCCACATACATGCTAGGCCAGTTTGTATTCATAGTCAAAAGCCATGGAACCTGAAAGGATGGAAGGGAAGGGTGGTCATGGATGAGTATAGATATCCCAAAGCAAGGCACCAAAAAGGAAGCAAGAGGACCAGGCAGATTCAGGAGGCTTTATTAGTCTTCAGTGAAGTTGTCTGGGGCTCGGAGCCTAGTGCTGGACCCTTCGAATGGACTGCAGCTGCCCAGTGTGGGCCTGAGTGCCAAACTTGCTGTAGGTCCGGAACTCTCCACTGTGCCTGTCCCGCTCCAGGACGTACTGGTAGCCCCGGTAGCCTGGGTACTGGTAGGCCACCCACCTAGGTCAGTGAGACAGAGTGGTGAGTAGGTCCTGCCACACCTGAGCATCTCCTCTGCTTCCACCTAAACCCTCCATTGGTACCCCTTTTTCACCTCCATACCCAAAGTTCCAATACCATTGCTGCAGCTTTCTGGAAATGGACCTCTCCCCTTCTTGCCTACTGTTCCCAGTCTTCCTGACACCTTCTTTGTCTTATCTCTTGTCCCCACTTCCCATTTCCTCAGTTATATTTCCAAGCTCTTCCTCTCACTCCACGTTGCCCCTTTTCCCCCTCTTAGACTCTGTGATCTTACTAAGCCCCCCATGTTTCTATTTCCCCTTCCATCCCCTTTCTCCATCCATCTCCCTGGTCCCCATCACCCCCCAGCTTTTCTTTTCATGCCCCTTGTTTTGGTCCCAGGACTCACGCTCCAGAACTGACTTTGAGAGAGCCCACGTCCTTGCTGGCCCAGCCCATGGCGGACAGAGACGGGTAGTCATCACTGAGTTCAAACCTGCTGCCCTGGAAGTTCTCACCCTCAAAGAGGGTCACACGGCTGTCGCTGTGGTTCTGGAACACAGGAAGGTGGGAGGAATCAGGATCTTTCGGGAGATGTGAAGGGCCTCAACCTCAACGTCCCCAACACACTGCCAAACACAGAGTATGTCCCCACATACAAATGCCTCTGAGATCACCCTCCCAGCTCCCTGACGAGCTAAAATGCCCAACATTTTAGTCAATATGTCTCTTGACTACTGCCTCCTATGGTTCTGTGATGATGTGATGATTTTAGGGGTTTCTTTGAGACCATCCTAGGTTGAGAATGGAAGGCATCTGTTCTGCAAACAGAAAATAAGTCCTGAGGTAGCTCTAGAGGCCCAGTGGTAAGAAGCTGCAATCCCAAAGGCATGTGGTTTGAATCCTCCAGCTCCTCCACGAGACAAGGATGGGCAATCTCATGCCATGTGATTAACTGCCTCTAAAAACTCACTGGAGGGCCAGATGTGGGTTGGTTCTGACTTGACAGTAGGCAATAACAACAATGTCACTTTACTCTTGGGGAAAATTTTAGTCTTTTCTATGAAGATGGTGCCAAAAGCAAAGAAAGAAGTCCCCTCCCCAAGTTGAAGCCAAAACAAAGGTGTTAAAGGCCAAGAAGTCAGTCCTGAAGGGCATCCACAGCCACAGAAAAAAAGGAGATCCACCCACCTTCCAATGGCCTAAGATGTTGAGACTATGAAGGCATCCCCAATACCCCTAGGAGAGTGTCCCCAGAAGAAACAAATCAACCACTATGTCATCATCAAGTTTCCCTGACCACTGAGTCAGACATGAAGAAGATAGAAGGTAACATGCTTGAGTTCATTGTGGATGTCAAAGGCAACAAGCACCAAACCAAATAAGCTATTGAGAAGCTCTGTGACATTAATGTGGCCAAGGTCAACACCGTGATTAGGACTGATAGAGAGAAGAAGGCCTAGTTCAACTTGCTCTTAACTATGATGCTTTGGATGTTGCCAACAAAATTGGCATCATCTAAACTGAGTAGAGCTAGCTAATTCTAAATACAAATTTTCTTTCTTTCTCTCTCTCTCTGAGAGAGAGAGAGGAGAGAGAGAGAGAGAAGTCCTGAGAGAATTTGGGTCTTTAATCAAGACAGATCTCCTTAGGACCAGCTAGCTTACCCAGCCCCTAGAACTGCAAGGCTCAGCTAAGAGGTTCTAAGTGACGGGGTCGGAACAGACAGGCCAGTGCATCTGCACCACCATCAAGTTTTGGCTTTCCCAGTTCCAAGCCCTTCCCTCCTTCAGGGCTTCTTGGCCTCCTGAGATGGAGACATTAGGCTTAGTTAGTACCCACTCTCTACCTCATCAGCTCCATACCTGCACTGATGTATTATCAGCCTTGCTCCCCTACACACACAGGCCCACACACAGAGCCCGCTCTCCTCAGTGTGGACTGAGTTCTGGTGTCATCTCCGTGTTAACCCTTGTGACTCTGTGCTCCTCTCCCACACTGTTCAATGGCCTAACAGCCGTCCCCTGGCTCACAGGGCCGGGTGAGGACAGTGGTGTGCTATGAGGGGCTCACGCTGCCTGAGGACAAGCTTGAGCTGAGCGCTGTCCTCGGTGCTGATTCCAGCTCTCTAGGCCACGCCCACTATGGAGATATGCGCTGTGGTGGCCAGGTCCCGCTGGAGTTGTGTTGTTTACCCAAAGGCTGCTCCTCGCTGGCGGTTCGAATCCACCAGCGGCTCCGCGGAAGAAAAATAAAAGAGCGATCTCCGGTGCCACTTGCAGCCTCAGATACCCAGCGAAAGGTCAGGCACGAGTCAGATGACTGGCCGACAATCAGACTGAGACCTTCCATTTACAAGTTGAGTTTACACCCCTGAACATGGCCTTCTGGTACACTGTGGCCGAGCTCGGAGGTGGCACTGGGAGGACGGACATGCTCACCGCGCAGAGCACCGGCCGGAAGGACAGCAGGTGGTCGCTGTGGAGGCCGCAGCTTCCACTCCAGGCGTTCCAGCGTGGATAGTCACCCTTCTCCAGGATGAACTGCTGTCCCTGGAAGTCGGGGTACTCAAAGGCCACCCATCTGCGGAAGGAGAAGAGCTGATGGGAGGCGAGGCGCTGGCCTCACACTCAGTCTTCCCCTTTTCCTTGCTTGCTGTAAAGAAAAGGTCTAGAAACTCGGCCTTTCCCTCCCACACCCGCTACATGGCCGACCCAGCCTGCCTGGAGGGTGAAGGCCTCTTGCTATCCGATGTTGAGGAACTCGGGCTTTCCAATCAGAAGCCTGAGTTGGAGACAGTTTTCCGGTTCAACCAGATTGCGCCTTTGGGGCCTGGCCACCTCCCAAAGCAGCAACCGAGTTTCAACTCCCTCCTTCACCTCCCTCACCGCTCCCCGGAGTCCGGGCTGAGCACCACAAGGTGAGGGTGGGCCAAACCGAAGGGGGTTCTTCTTTTGTTTAGAAGCCCAGCACTAGCCGTCTAGGGTCGTGGCGCCCCAAACCAGGAGCTAGGCAACGGGGCGCTGCTCGCCTTTAGCCCTGTAGTTCACAGGAGGACACATTCTTCCTCCCAGGACATGCTTTGCAAGGCGAGGGGAGCCTTGGGGAGGCCATGTTGCTGGGCCTTTCGCAAGGGCGCGGGGCTCGAGGGCAGGAGGGTCAAGGGAGGGAACTGAGGTCCCGAATCTCAGGCTCGGGCCTGGGGAGCCCGCCTCTCAGCGGGTTACTCACGCGCCGCTCTCCACCTTGACCGAGCGCACCCTGCTCAGGCCGCTGCGCTCGCTGACGTTGGCGCAGTCGTGGAGCAGACGGCAGCAGCGGCCCTGGAAGTCTTCCCCGTCCCAGAGCGTGAGGCAGGCGGGAGCCGGGCCCATGACGCTGCGGGCAGGAGGGAGGAGACGCCACGCTCAGAGCCAAGTGCCCTCCTTCCGGGACCGCACCGCCCAACCCACTGGGGGCGAAGGCCCCGGGACTCTAGCCGGGTCCCACCAAGGGCGGATCTCCCTACCCGGCACCAGGTTCCCGCGGTGCGGAGCGCCGGCGCAGACGGAGGGTGGAGAGGTGGCGCGCCTGCGGTGCGCGAGGGGCTTTATACCCAGAGCTTGCCCCCGCCTCCACCCTCCCCGGCCGAGGTGGGGGCGGCTGAGTCAGCGTCCCGGCCGCGGTTCGCCCGGGGTCCCTGGGAGCCCAGGCCTGGCGGGGGTCACAATGGAAAGTGCTGAGGCTCCCGGCTCCCGCCCCCGCAGCCCGGGCTGACTCGGCTCTTTCTTTCTTTGGGGCCTGAGCCTGGCAGTTCACAGCCGCCCCGGGCAGAACGCACGCCGTTTGGCAGCCCTGGGGCCCCAGCGAGGACGGGGCACTCTGCCTAGGGGCGCGGAAGTCCCTCCAAGTATCTAAATTCTTTTTCAGCCCTGGATCGAAGCCTCTCTCGTCTAGGAGACCTGGGTGGAGGGAGAGGAGGCTCTGGATAAATGGCTCTGCGCCCGCCTCTCAACCGCTTTGCCCGAGCGGCTCAAGTCATCGCCACCCCTTTTCTCCCGGGCGGGAGTTCACCGACCCAGCGTTCATGCCGTTTTCTCTGGCTGCGGCTGCATAGCGTCAGGAGGCAGCGGTGATCAGGACTCGCTGAGTGCAGGGACCAAGAGGGTGTGGGATTAGCAAGGGACTCTCTCAACAAGTAAGTGACTCTCTAAGGTAGGTAGGAAGGATGATCAACCTTAGGCCTGCTGGACCCAGACTGTTTACAGGCCCCCTGAAAGTTCTGGAGTCCAAGAGTTCTAGCCCGCTGAGCGCCAGACAGCTAGCAGCTGGTTCTTGAACCGGGGCACATGGCATGCTCCTTGCTCTCATGCTTTCAGGAACCTTGGTTTCAGATAATCCGTGGAAGCACTTGGTGAGGCAAGCGCGGTTATTAGCCGGCCTTTCACAGATGACTGAGGAGAGGCATGGAGCCCCAGTAGAGACGTGAACCTGGGTTTCTGTTTGAAGATCTTGGGCTCTTGAAGCAAACCAACTGGCCACTTGTGTCTGTGGATCGTCTTCCGAAGCAGACTGCCACGTATTTCACCCATGGAGCAGCTGGTGAGTTCGAACTTGCAATCTTTTCCATTAGCAGTGGAGCGCTCAACCAGTGAACCATCAGGATTATCTCTTGGACTCTTGTTAATTACCATCCGTCAGAACTGACCCACTGTAGACCCTCCAGCAGGTTCTCAGAGGCTGTAAATCTCAAGGGAGGAGATTGCTCATCTGTCTCCCACAGAGAAGTTAGTGGATTAAAACTGAATGCCTTTGGACTGGCAGTCAATTTCTTACCACTACTAGGCCATCCTTTTCCAATTCCAATACCAGATGCATCTGGGGATGGGGGTGGGGAGGAGTGAGAGGGGGAGGGAGAAAGGCAAAGGAAAAGTTTGATGCTCCAAAAAGTTTAATGTTCCGGGGAGAAAAATTTCCTGGCAACTTGCAGCAAAATTTCCTAACCCTGTATGTCAAAGAGCACTAAGACTTCTAGCGAAGTCTCTCTAGCAAAGTGAGCTGAGTGATTCTTTATAGATAAAGTAATCCTTTGTGGGCGCTCTCAGGAGCCCTATATGAGGTCAGTTTGTATGTCCAGACATGGAAACTGGACCTCAAGGATGTGAGGTATCTCATCCAAGCTCACAATGTCAGAACAAGACTCGAGTGTGGGCATTTTTATTTCAAAGCAAGTCCTTGCAATACTAAGCCATTCAACGTGCAGTAACGAAATGCTCAAGTTGACCACACACAGCCACAGCCAGCTCATAGAAATCTAGTGTTCATGCTGGACAGTCACCACACACGGTCTTCTTTCTTTTTGTTCCTACCTTTCCCTGGCATTCTGGTAGCCTAGAGGTAAGAAGCTGCACTGTAATCCCAAATGATCACAGTTCGAATGTGCTAGCTTGTTCCTGGAGAAACATGGGCAATCTCCTCTCATTGATTAACTGCCTCTGAAAACCCACAAGAGGGTCAGCTCTGGGTCAGTTCCAACTCGATGGTACTCAACAACAACAACAACAACAACAACCGCCTTTACCTAGAATGTCTTACCCACAGGATCTTTGCATGCCTCGCTCCTTCTTTGTGAACCTCACTCTTGTCAAGTTGTCTTCATCTTTGATTGGTCAGTGTGTTAACCTGTAAGCTAACACCCTTCCTAGAGTGTAATCTCCATTCAAGGGAGCAAGGAGGTCTCTCTTGTTTTCAGCTGTTGTCCTCAAACACAGAGCCCTGCTGGACATGGACTTGGCACTCAGGAAGACTTCTGGAATGATTAAATGAATACAGTGGTCAGGGGTGGGCCCAAAGTCCCTGGGATGAGAGAAAGTTCTCTGATGGAGGTAGGGAGTGTGGTTTACTCATTCAACAGACCTCCTCACCCCCAGCATTCCAGGATGCTAACAAGCAGGGAGGTCAGAGTCCCCTTGGTCCTCTCTTTAACTCTTGGGAAACTGCTCTTGAGGTCCATGTGTGTAACGATGACCCGCCAGGACCACAGTTATAGACTCAGGCACTGGATGGAGAGGGAGGAAAGTTCAAATTTGGGCTGAGCAGAAGCAACCACAATCAGACATGGCTGGGGGCAGGAAAGGACCAGGATGAGCCCCCTGACTAATTTCCCATAACGTATATGTGCCTGATTCAGGTATGAGCTTTTCAGTCACTTGCTATGCATCTCAGAGCTGAACAATGAATAATGAAGACAGAACAATGGATGCCTTTGAACTATGGTGTTGGAGAGGAGCACTGAATGTCTCATGGACTTAAAAAAATAACCAATCAAACAGATAGGTCTTGGAGAAGGTGCAGCCAGAGTGGTCCTTGGAGACAGAGATGGCAAAGCTCTGTCTCACACGCTTTGGGCATGTTATTAGGAGGACATTTTCCTTGGAAAAGGACATCATGTTTGCAAAGGTAGAAGGTCAGTAAAAGCGAGGAAGACTCGATGAGATGGTTTGACACTGACTTCAGCAACGGGCTCAAGTGTCAGAGATGATGAGATTGGCAACAGGATAGGGCAGGGTTCAGATCTGGTGTTCATAGGGTCGCTATGAGTATACTCGACCCGATGGCACTAACACCACCACCACCACCAAGTGGAAATCCAGACGCTGCCGTCCTAATCCTGTCCGTGGCTGCTGAGTGAGGAACCACGCCCACTTCCACCCCAGCTCTGGCAATCCTTTATTTGGCCACC